TTACAAAAAGACTCTTGGATCCTCGTAATAAAAGCATTCTCAGTTTGTTCCAGTGAGAAACTGACATAAACGCGAGTTAAAATGCATAAATCTCTCCACTATTTTTATGAACGTAAATGAATGCATTTTCCTTTCTAATTGAGTAGACATTTATTTTATTTCCTTAAATGTATAACAGTTCATATCAGCCCATTTAAGATTATTTATATGGAAAGGATAGGTTGTATGTTCATGTGTTAAATTAGGTCTAGGTTTATAATGGCATATGATCTGTATTCACAACCTGTTGAAGTAATTTTCTGATTTAATCAGTCATTAAGTGTAGCTGTAAATTTAGCATGACTCACTGACTTTATGGACATATTGGGTCTGGGGTTTTCTGTGTTCAGTATTAGAGCACCTCCAGTTGCCATAAATGCAGCATGATCTACAAAACAAAGGCTTCTGTTCTCTGGCTGGTGCTCATATTGCTCTGATATATAATGACATTTAACTCAGAAAGTGAAAGCTTACTCCGACAATTATTCAAAGTTATTTTATTTAATTTACCCTCCCCTCCCACTGTAATCATTCATCTCAAAAGAAGTTTTGTTCCCCTGCCTTCCCGTAGGTGGCTTGTGTATCTCAGACAAATCCCTTTTTCATTTCTTGAAAAGGTTGCCTGTCTTTATTTAGCCCGTAACATTATGATTTCATGACAAACTAACTTTTTTTTTATAAATTCAGTTTCATCAGTATTACAATTTATATTAAAACGATATAATCAGGCATATTAGTGAACTTTTAACTTGCTTTTTTTTTGTTTTTTGGGGGTTCTTTTACTCCTACATTTTAAATAATTAACACTTTAAAAGACAGTCTTAGCAAAAACGCATTTTTCAAATAATCCTTTTAAAATCTTTACCCCTAAAGCTAATAATTGGCTGTGCAACTCTTGGCAGCAGCCATAAAAATCATAAATGAAGTGTGGTCCACTATTCTTTGCAAACCTGCTGCATTACAGCCATGTTGGAGGGTTTTTTATCCGCCTGTTTCTACTGTTGTAGGAGCTTATCAGGATCTAAAGCAGCAAAGCAGCCCACCTCATCAAACTAAACTACAATATTCCACTTTTTATTTTTAGGGTCTTTTTCCTGAAATATTTCACTTTAGCGTTTTGAGTCCAAATGATATTTTCCTAGAAGTCTTCAGTGGATCTTAGAGATGACCAAATGTGAGACAAACAATTGTTCTTCTTTGCAGTCAGAAGCAGTTTTGTCCTTTGAGTTGTCCCATTGATGCTATCTTTGCCTACACACTGGTCTTAACTAAGCCAAAAGATGACTGCAAGTCTTTAGATGTTCCCTCTAAATCCTTAAAGCAAGTGTTCTGTCAGACCAGCATACCCATAGTCAATAAGCATAAGCAAGACGTCAGATTTGCATACGCGTATGCTAGTCCCGTTTATCTCTTCAGTTTATTGTATGAATAATTTTTATTAATAATTTTGTATGAAAAATACACATTAAACTACCTCAATGGGCGTGTACCTATATACCCCATTTACACTACCCTTGAAAAACCAATCCATGCCGAGACCGGTCCGAGCTGGGATCAGTTAACCAGGCCGAGCTCGGTTCTGACGACCGTTTACAGATCACGCTATCGCGGTTCCTCGACTCCTCGCCTCCTAGTGAAGATCTGCGGTATTACTGCCGGTATTGGAGGAGGACATCAAGCAGTTGGTGGCGGTAATGCACCAAAAATTGTTTGGCAACCGCCATAAAACACAAGAAGAAGAAGACGAAGAAGGAGGGAATCAAGCTAATCAAAATGGCGGCCCCCGTCACATTCAGAAAGTTAAGCTTGATTATTATTGCTGTACTTCGGTGTTATTTAAAATGCCATTATTTAAAATGTTGTGTGGAGAAAATTTCGATTGTTGTTTATAGTTGTTCTTCTGTTTTGTGTTGGTTGGCAAGCAACCGCCAACTACTGGAATGGAGTGTGAATCAGGATGTGCAACCAGATGGAGATGACGCGATCTGATCATGTACTCTTGTTATCAGAGAACCGAGCCAGGGAAAAACCGAGCCGATTGCGTCTAGCTCGGTTCAGTTAATTTTGCTTTCCATTTACACACGATAAGTTATCTCAGTTACTGAGCTCGGACCGGTCTTGGCACGGTTTTTCAAAAAAAAAAAAAACGATTTAATTAATTACTTATTGTTGCTTTTTGAAGCGTATGGAGATCTGGCCATAAACAGTTTTTTTCTACGGCATATGTTCCTTCAGATTTCTGTTGATCGGTGCATAATTTCTTGCGTTTTGAGATCTCTTCATTTTGCCACGCTTGTTCTATTGCTTGATTCTACATGTCTGGCAGTAATCTGCTCTGGATGCAGCTGGTGAAATGGAACCAAATCACTGTGGATTATCAAAATTATGTGCAATCCAATAACATTTCCCAATGGGAGCATGTTGGTCTGAACTGCATTCTTTCCCTCTTAGTAAACTGAATACCTATTGTATTTAATAGCCTATTTCTCTGTGATATTAACATTTTAAGAATGTGCAAGTCTGAAAAAAAAGCAAAGCGTTTTAAAACGATCATATCAAACTTGCTCCTATTTTCTGCCTCACTTGTGTTTTCTCTGAGGAAGAGAGCAAAGCTTCGTGTTGCTGGGTATTAAAGAGGTTGAGCAGATCAATGAAGAAGAGGAAAAAAGAAAAAAAAATCCACGTTCACAGCCTTGATGATTAAAGACCAAAAAGTTGCATAAAATCTTCCTCTTGATCTGTGGGCTACAAGCTGACAGTGGAATAAATCCTGAATCAGCAGTCTCAGGCTGCACATTCATTAGCCCACATCTAAAACACACAGTAATTAGTGAACAGTTAAAGGAAAAAAGTACCCGTCCCCCTCATTAGGTCAGTAATCACCTTTAATAGTGCAGAGGAAGTTTCAGCGGATAAATGATACCAGTGCGTGTCTGTGTGTTTGTGTACTGATGCAGGGAGAGGATTCATACCGACGGTTTTAATCGCACCGAGGTCTCTGCAGGAGATGTACTGTAAAAAGTAAGAGTGGATTCCACAGTTTCCACTCTTGCAAAAGAAAGCTTTGCTAGCATTAAGGAATTAAAGGTAGGGGCAGCCGACTATACTCTAATCTCTTGAAGAGATAAAGATGTTGATCTCAGCGTAGTAACCCCGGTAATTATCAGTTGCAGTAAGCTGCTTAAACTCCTATCAGTGTGCTCTTTTTCGATGAACAAAGGCATTAAAGCACATCTGTGGTAGGAAAATCTATTTCCTATTAATTCTCCAGACATCTATTGATTTATCAGTGCTGATTTTCATTTGTACTTAGGTTACAACGGTTTTCACTCAGGCCTTTTCCACCTGTAAGGCGAATAGTTTCCGTAACAGGACAGACTCCGTCCCCTGAAGCTTTATTTAACATTTTACTGCTTTCTTCATCTTTCTGTACCTTGTTTTGATTGAAAAATGTTGTCTAGATCAGAAGAGGACAGAACATGGAGCTATGAGGGCTGTTAAGATTGATAAAATGAAGTCCCGACTGAGTGAATATCCATCGATCTTGTTTATTTAACCGGACAGCTAAATACCTTTTTTCTACAACTATCACAGAAAATCAAATAAAAAGGCTAAATAAAAATAAAACTATTCATCTAAAGAATTCTACCCCATAGCATTAATCTGTGCTAACGTCGTTTTGTACCTTGTCTACAACTTTTAGTCTCTTCTCTAAATGCTGCGGACATGACAGCGCCACTCTGAACATAACAAATTTGCCCTTTGCTCAGTCTGATACCTTGTCATTATGTCAAGTACATGACTGCTGCTCGGTTGTGGTCACTCTGACCCAAAAAACAACCAAAAAAGGTGAGCTATTATTTCCTTTGTGCTTCAGCACAAAACCTTAATGTACCTCTGAGTTCACAGAGGACCATTTAGCATTGTTGGTGTTTTGGAGAGAACTCTGCTTTAGTTTGTTTCTGTTTTATGAACAAGTTTCTCAACCAAATGGGATTTGCACTCTTTAAAAAAATAAAAGGCATCCTAATGTCAATAAGCAGAAGATACAGAGTGCTTTGCTAAAGTATTCACTTTTCTACTTTTCTACACTTGTCATGTTTTGACCTACAAAGTCATATTTGTTAAGATTGTATGAGACAAGCAAACACAAAGTGGTGCATATTTCTGAAGTCAAGGAAAAGTCAAGGGAGTGGCTTAGAATCCTGAGGTTGTGAGTACGAAACCCACTCCCACAGACTGCCAGTCAGGCTCTCTAAACAAAACCCTTAACCCCTGATTGCTCCCCAGGCCCTGCACAACGGCAGCCCACTGCTCCCAAAAGGGGATGGGTTAAATGCAGAGTTCATTTCTCCATTGTTAGATCAATAAAGTTAAATATTTTTCATAATTTTTTTTAAAGGACATATGACCATTGGAACTACTTTGAAAAATATGTTCAAGTGTAAAACTAATTACTACAGTGCCCCCTTTAACTTTAAAACCCTTAAATATAAGTGCAACCAAGAGCAGAATAAGCTTTCATCCGTCACGGTGTAGTTTAATTTTTATTCATCATTGCCAAGTGGAGGCACGATGGTGGCAGCATCATACTGAGGGGAAGCTTTTCCTCAGCAAAAACAGAGAAGGAGTGGTTGATGTTAATTTGAAATTGGATGGAGCTAAGTAGAAGGCAGTCACAGACCTGCTGTGTTAAAAAGGCCTAGTCAAAGTCCAGCTTTAAATCAAATCTTAATCTGTAAATCGATGTTTCAAAGACCTTCCCTGTCTTTGACTTTTTAGCAATTTTTGACCTTAAATAGACATAAAATCTCTATAAAGACCATTCATTCTTTCCAATGACTTCAAAATATGCAAATTATCTGGTTCTAACATTAAGAAATATGAGAAAGTATTAATTTCTCCCCATAAAGTTTCATTCAGCATCTACTGTGTGCAATCTGCTACCCTGGAAGAGCTACCTTGGTGGTGAGGACCTTGAAGCTGCTCTGCTGTGGGACGATGGGGTGCAGAAGGTGGAAGTGGAGGTCGCAGTTCTCCCCCGATGCCATCTGTATGTTAGCAGAGAGCTGGATAGAGAAAATAAATAAATAAATAAACAAACCCAGCAGATTTTAAATGTTATTTGCATTTGTAAACAAAGGATTAGAAAAACTTCCAAGTGGAAAACAATCTGAGGTGACGATCCAACAGAAGGAGTGATAAATGAATGGATGAATACAAACGGTAAGAGGAGAATATTTTGATTTGATTTGACTGCAGCTCTCAGAACGTGTAAAACAACAAAGAGCGAGTGAGAGAAGGCGTCGGCAGTGCTGAGAGTTTTTTATGCGATGTGGCTGCTGTGATTGTCTGGAGACCTCGACATGTCCCCTTCAGCCACACTCTGATGACCGATGAGTGGGCGAGGCGAGGGTCAGCCTGTCGTTCACCGACGCTCTTGAAGCATTCCCTCTTCATAAGGATGTGACTTCACCATTAGCTCGCACAAAGAACGCTTATAATAGGTGCTCTTTGTTTTTTTATTCTGCTTTAATAACACATTAAGTTAATATATATATACCCAACTCTCAGTCCACTACTAATGTTTTCTTTAAAGTCCCTTCTTCAGATTTTGAACCATAAAAAATCATAATAAAAGACTTCAATGGAAATGAGAGCTTGGAAATTGAGATAAAACTGCTTTTGGGCAAATCCACAAAACTATCAGAGTTTAAGTATTCATTTCTAGTTGGATTTCTTTCTGTGCCGTCTGTAGGTATACAGCCCGCCGCACGCACAGTCGCAGGGGGGAAAATAAGTGGAACCACCTCCTTTCATCTTTAATTTCTTTTGTATATACTGACCTAGTAAAAAATATATGAACTTATCTATACTCTGCACCACAAAGGGAGCTTAACGAGTGACTGTTATTCGGAGCAAGAGAACTATTTCTTTTGAAATGAGGTAAATTCCGTTTGTTATTCTATTAGAAAAGACAAAGCCGCTCCCTGGGGTGCCCTGCAGTTACCCCTCAGAGAGAGGGAGAGACGAGTGGAAAGACTGAAACGAGAAGAGAAGAAGTCAAAGAAAGGAGCGCTGTCCCTGAAGGGCTCTGCGGCTGATCCTAGATCAGTTATGCCTCCCATCTACAGACAATTAGGAGGTTGGAGGAGCTAGGGAGGGTAAATTGTTCTTAGATCTGTACTTTGGGGGCAATGTTAACAAGGCACCACTGGAGGCATGTTTGGGTCTGTGGGGAGAAGAGGATGTGTATGTGGGTCTACATGTATGTGAGAGAGACCCCTCTAATGGGCCCCCAAGAGGAAACACTCAAGCGCTAACCTGTCTTTGTTCCGCGCACACAGAGAGAAAACACACCGGCTCCATCTCGGCCAGTCCTCATACCTCTCTTTCCGTGAAGTTGATGCGCACACCGTCCTTGGGAACATTCTTCGCCATGATGGTGACGATGACTTGTGATTCTGTTTGGTACCAGTCATGCCTGTAAGGGACGGATGACACTTTAACTCCAGAATACATGTTAAGACCGCTTCGTTAGCACCTCTGGTACAATTAAGTGAAAGAGAAAAAAGGCCTGGAGATTCCAATCTCTAATTAAAAAAAAAATCCCTCATTAGGAACAACTGACAGAACTATTGGCACCCCGATATTTTCAAAATAAAAATGACAGAAACACTGTTTATTTACATTTGTATTTGCCAAAGCTTTTAGGAACTTAAAACACGTAATCCATAACTTTCTGTTTCCATGGGTTATAAATATGACAAAGAGGCTCAATTTAAGCCTCTGGCTACTTCTGCCCTGTAAGAGGAGCCATATTTAACTTAGCAGCTCCCACAGTGAGCAGGATAGTAAATTAGATTAAATATAATCTCCACAGCTCACTGTTGGAAAACAGCAGCAGAGAGTGGCATGTTGGGGTCACCTAGTCTCCATAGCAACCATTACACACCAGCTACACGCCTGCTTGATATTTGTAAGGAAATTACAGGATAAACTTTGTCTGTCCTGCTATCAGAACAATAAACATGGAGTTGGTGAAACTTTATTAGGACTCTAATTGGAAGGTCGCTCTGGCATGAAACAACAGCGGAAGATGTGGAAAAGCTAATTTTACTCAATTTAAAGTACGGGGGAGGATCCGTGATGCAGTGGGCCCTGAACCTTCATGAAATGATGAGAGGTTTTTCGAAAATGTGTCTAAAACAAGATGAAAATGACTCTATCCTCTAACTCTATTCCAACCAGATATTCTAAAGGAAAACGGGAAAACTAAGCTGCAAACAAGCAGCTTTGATCTTGATTAGGGGAAGCTAAATAAAAATGAATAAGGATGACAAACTAACTAAAATAGCTGACATTTTCCTAAACAAAAAAAAAAAAAAGCCGGCTGAAGCTGGTGAAATCCAGGCAAATCTAATCGCATACATTTAGGAAGGTGGCTAAGTAATCAGAGTGACGGGAACTTACTCCAAGTTGTTTAAATAGCTTACTGAAAATTAGAAAAAAAAAAATTAGCTCTGCAAAAATAAAACTGACTTCAGGTGCGTACGAAGAAAGGTGAAAAGAAATGTTTTTTCCAGAAAAGGTAGAAGACCTGCATTTATCAGAGACGAGGTGTACAGCTTGTTTGCCTAATTTTGCATTGAGAACTATGAGCTCATAAGATTTAAATCGTGTTTTGATCCAACTGATACAAATTTTGATTAAAAGTTACAACGTGAAATAAAAGAAAATTCAAAATAAATGTTTTTGCATCCATTGAAACAAATTAACGAGCCGACGCAAAGTGTGATGTCATCATACGCAGACGTTACTTTTGGTTGTAGTAAACAGGAAGCCGAGTTAGCAAGCTAGCCCAGACCACAGATCAAAGATGGAATGACGTCATAATAAATGTTTTGTAATCAATGAGTTTTTACTTTAGCATGTCAGTTAGTATGAGTGATTGCTTATGTCATCTGGAGACGTCGAGAGAGAAATTAAATCTAAAGCTGCATTCGGGACACCAGCTGCAACAGCTGATCAGTCAGGTGAGCTGAATTATTGGCTACAACAGAACTTATTTAACAAATGCAATTCTGTTAGAAATATTTTATTTATACTCCGTTTGTGTTTCATGGGTTGTGTACTAATGAACTATTATGATGTATAATGTGTGATTTATCGTTTATTAACTCTTGCTAAAGTTCGTTCCAGATAAAGGTCATGCAACGGACAGGTTGTGAAAGAGGCCTGAACATCCTCTATCACATGTTTCTTCTACCCATGTGTTCTTGGAACAATTCAATTGTCAAACAACCACATGCTTTGTTTTAACATTTGTGCTGAGGTTTAAAGTAAGATCATTGTGTTTCCCTTTCCCTTAGTTAAACCTCAGCTTGTGTAATTAGGGACATCCCCTGACTTCAATAAATAGTGAGGACAAAGCTGAAGACTGGCAGAGTGGGGTGGAGATTTGTAAACTCCGCAGTCTCTTCCTACTCTCCTCGCGAGTAAATAAATTAATTGTCTCTGTGCCTTTTTTGTTTCCCTGTATGTATGTATGTATGATGTTTTAGGTGCTTAGACCTGACAATTTCCATCTTGTCTTAAACATATTTCCGCTTTTCCAAAGGTCAAAAAACACCTCCAGCTAGCATGAAAATTTCAAGAATTTTAGTACGCTGGTTTAAACTCTGCAGTTTCCATCGAGCTCTGCTAATGTGATACTTTAAAATGTGAATAATAATTAAAAACTTTGAAGGTTGATGGAAACACGCCTATAGTCAATTAATACCTAACAAACAAGAGGGCATTCTGAAGTGATCAGGACTGAGGATTATCAGGAAGGATGGATGGTTAAGAGGTCCTTTCTCTGTAGGCTACAACCCTGGAAATATTTCTCAGACCAGACAAAGTGGTGTCCTACTATCAGAAAGGGTGCCAATAATCCTGCCTCCAGTAGATCTGTTAAAAGCTGTCTTAAAATGTTTGATTTTTCCAACTTTCAGATCAGAGTCATGCTTCTTTACTAAAATAAACATTTATCTTTAGGCTTCCTACACATTTTTATACTGAGACTGCTTTGATTCTCATCTTGTCATCTTTATTTCTTTAACATTCAACTTCTTAACACAAGAAATTCCACATGTTTACATCATTATGATTTGATAAGTATGTAATGGAGAGCTGAAGTTTTGCATAATAAGGGATAAAGAGTTAAAACACGGGACTGGAGGTTCTGGCTTACTTCACAGGTGGAGTCGCTGGTGTCTGCTGGGTAATTCAGCACCGATGATGATTGGAGGGAAAGAAGAGGAAAAAAGACACAAACAAGGAACAATAAGCAGGCAAGAAAGAATATAGAAAACAGCTCTAAACGAGCCTTTTTTTCTGCCTTCTTCAAAGCCAGGCAGCCATCTGATGCCGAGAGCAACACTGCCCCCAAGTGGCTCAACAGAAACTCACCGTGGTAACGCTGCCGTTCTGTGTCTGAGCTGTGGAGAGAAAGACAATAGAAACATCAAACTCCTCCTCTGCCGTTTTAATACAACAGTCTGTAAAACATGGTGCATAGGACTTTAAATATTCAGCCACTGCATGGATGACTGATGGCAAACAGACATGGCTCCACAGTCGGCCGAGCCTCTCCAGCGGTTTGTTTGCTGGTCCGTCCACGCCCATTAAAAGCCCCCGTGAGCCCTAGGAAGCTGGGGCGGCATTTAACCAGCGTGCCATCATGCATTATTCACCGGCCTCGTCGCGTAACGCGCTCACAGAGAGGGATGAGATGATAGGCGGTGTGCTAATGTTGTCTTAATGAGGTCGTGTTTGAAACAGGAGGAAAAGCGGGGCTGTGGGGAGCAGTTAGGAAGAGACGGGGAAAAGTTGTGTGAACTCTGACACTATGTGTGCCTCAAGTGATGAAATAACCATGTTCCATATGTGTTAGTGTGTAGTAAACACCCTGACACTTCAAGAAGCAACCGCTTGCGGTGTGCATGAGTAACGGTGGATCTGTGTGTGCGAGTAGCGCTATAAAGGGGCTGGGTCTCACCGGGGGCTTTCAAACATCAGTAACGTTAACTCTGATGAATCACAGACCTCTCAGGGGTACGTGTGCACGCCGGTGTGAAGCGTGTTTGTCAAAACTCCTGCTCCCGTTTACTCGAGATGATCCAGAGGGCCACAGCATTGCCGGCAAACAGAAGCGCTGAGCCCTGACGAGGCATGCATCTTTCATTGGACGGGGCAGCGCTGCCCCCAACAAGGGGAGCACACACACACACACACACACAACAGAGGCATGCATATGTTGCATACTCATTTGTTTGATCAGATAAGCTGATCTGCTCCCTGACTGCACCGTTTAGTTTCATGTTTGACGGCGGCAGCGAACACAACGCACGGCCTAATTTACAGCAAGTGAGGCTCAGCCGAGTCACGGATGACTGATAAGCAGGAGAGTTTACATGTCACTGCTGTCAGCCATGCATCCAGGTGCAGCTGTAAACGGTGCATAAAAATCTGCAATAGTTTCATGTCACATGGGATAAAAATATAGCTGGAGTTATAGGACAGATGTGTGTGCTACTTACCCCCCATTGTCTCTTCGCACCGCTTTATCCAGACTTCACATGATTTGTCAGAATCTGCACAAACAGGCATAAATATATGTTGTTTTATTATTTTCCTCAAGAATTTGTTAGTTTTTCTCGACAATATGATCTGTAATATTGGCTTCAAAGGAACCAGATGGGGTTAGGAGGTAAAGGAAACTTGTTGGTCGCATCATATTTTTTGTTTTCACAAATGGGATCCTTGAGAATCATTATTAATCTCAGACTAATGCTAACCTAGGTTTTACCAGACCTCATTTTAGTTTTAATGCATTCAATCTGTAATTGGCACAAATAGAACAAAGGCCACTTTAATCTAAATGGTTTTAAAGAATCCTAATGCAGACAAACCGAGAAAGTGTTGTTTTTTACAGGTATATATATATATAACAGGAAGCGTCACAAATACTACAGTTTAAACAAAGTACCCAGAGGGTAAGCTCTGACCATTAATGCAGGTTTGAAAACGGAGGGAGGCAGGTCTCACCAAATGTGATGATACCTGAACATCTGGTCGTGCACAAAACGTGCGAGTGGCGCTTCAGAATAAGGGTGGGGTTAGGGACATATCTACTGCAATCTCTCCTACATAGTCTCCATTCTGTCAGTGTTGGTGTCATGGGGGATTTCAGGAGCGTTGGTAGAATCCGAGTAGCCTCCAATCCAGTAGGAGGGATCAGAGCCACCTTTTGTTTCTCCTTATTCTTTGTTACACCTACAGTATATTAATCTAAGTGATCCCCCACTGAATAAGCCTCTTGGATGGGGGGAGAAAAGTCTTCTAGAAAATTTTGTGTCCAGTTCAAAAAATGTTAAAAAGCAATCCACTGGACTTTGTTTCCAATTTGTAAGACGTTTCACTTTCCATCCAGAACGCTTTTTCAATTCAAAATGTCAGAAATATTGTCGACTTCAAGGCTTTATAGAGTAGACCAAAGCAAAGTCTCGTTTTGGCTTAGAAAACATGCAAATTGACGAGCGGGTCCGCCCCTTTAGAATGGGGGTCGTTTCGTTTCTTTGTTAGCCTGTAATACCCGAACCCTGTCTATGTCTCTGAAAGGGGGGTCGTTAGAGGAAATAGTTGGCCTGGCTGAAGTGGCAAGGTGCTCTGGTTTCCTGTATGAGGGTGGGGTTGCGATGATAGTGGGAAGGAATCAACTCAATCGCTGAATTGTAGGTTTTGGAAAGCTAACATCCGCCCCCTCTGTTTAAGCTTGGTTTTTCTTTAACAAAGATGGCTTCCTTCACACCTCTCTCAATCCACCTATGACCTGGATGACTGAGAATCTTCACAGATAGAAGCAGATGTTATTCCAACTATCACAACTGATTCTGCCCTTTGGCTGATGTTTTGGTTTGATCCTATAAAAAGGGGGGGAATGTGGAGATGCCAATCCAAGCCACAAGTATTTAACAAAACGCCTTATAGATAAATAAATGTGTCAATTAATACATGAAACAAAAGTAAAAACTAACTAAGAGTTTGTTAAAGTACAGTCAAAAGGTACAGAGTCCAGAGTAAAGTGTTACTATATTGCTTGAATTATTCTATATTGCTTAAATGTTTTAAATATCCGTATGTCCAAAGCTGTCGTTGGGTGCACTTATTTTTCACATTACTCTAAAAAGATCAGAAGCAAAATGAATCTATTCAGCTGCATGAAAGCTGCTCATTCATTTATGCATGCAGAGCATCCAATAAGCAGATGTGGGTTCACTCTAGTCTAAATCTGTCCTAAAATATTTATGAAGAGAAACATTTGGTAGACAGGCATGACCTTCAACATTTATTAGCTTACATAAAATAGTTTAAAATAAATCTCAGGCATCGAACCCAACTTGTAGACGGTCCAAATCGGAGTTTATTGCAGAAAAATCCCAGCATCATGGGTCATTTTAAAGGTTAAGAGCATTTAAATAAAGTAAATGAAAACAAGTTGTTTTCCAGGCTGCTGTGAAAGCGCAGCTGGGAGGAAGCTGATCCACAGTGACTGTAATGAAAACCATAGTAAATCTATAACCATACATTTATTTTTAAAAATGATGGATTAAAGGTACACTATGCAACCGGTGTTGATTTTCCAGTGAGGCTCCCTCCAGAGGGCGAAAGTAAAAGTGCACTGTCGTAAATATGCACAGCTGTTCTCCTGGTTTCTCCGTCAAGCCAGGCGCGGTTGTTTTGAGCTTAGCAGCGAATGACTAACGCTGCGTTCACACTGGACGTAGCTGGCGCGACAGAAGCAGCAAGTTTACATGCAAAGTCAATGGTTGACGCGCGTCGGCGCAGCAAAAGGTCCCGCGGCGCGTTTTGAGCACCAGGCTCAGCACGTCTGAGCAGCTGAAGCAGCGCGTCGGGTGCGTTTAACGCAGGGAGAGAGACACAGCGCTGATGATCACTCCTCTTAAACAGTTTATTGACGCCTAAATTAACTTAAAATGCAGAAATCTGCCGGCAGAATATGCAGTTTGGATTATTTAGATGAAAAACACCTACCAGCTGCCGCGGTGAACCGCTGCTGATGAAGGGATCCATACTGCCGGCGCAGCAAAAAATGAAGCAGCAGACGCGATTTTGCTGCTTTTGCTGCTTGAACGTAGCATAACTGCACAAAGATTGCCACTGTGCTAGCAACGAGAATGCTTTTAACTGGGGGCGTGTAGCAGTTCTCGCCGTAAAGCAAGACTGACTCTCACGAGACTTCTGAGCCTGTGGGTGCGGGTCGGTGCTCCTGCAGTTGCAAGTGCAGTATTTCCCCCACAGACCACCAGGGCGGCCGAGAATACCTTTGTTCAACCTGAAATGACTCATTTAGTCATCCATAACGTTATGGAACACATTAATTAACTGAAAAATGTTGCATATTGTCCCTTTAAAGTACTAATGCTGATGGTTTACTGTGGGCTATTTCTTTTCATTTATACATCTTTTTCTTTTTAAACAGCCGGTATCAGCTGGGTCACTTGTTTTTTCAAGATATTAAAGACTGTTTCACGTGACCAAAAAAAAAAATGAATGAGGTGAGTTTATAGTCAGCAGCTGCTCAGGTGTGACTGTGGTGTCTTAGACCCATGTAACTGTCCAGAGCAGATGTCTACAACCTGCGGTGCTAGAGCCACAAGTGGATCCTTCAACCTTCAACAATGGCTCTTTATAATTTTGGGAAAAATTTATGTATAAAAGAAAAAAAAAGATTTATACTGGGGGGAAAAAAATCCAGATCTTTGCATTTTTTCCAAAGGAAAATTTGCACTTAAAGGTATGTGGAGGTAGCCTCGTGAGACCATCCTGATCTCGCGAGCTTCCAAGGTTTCACTTGCTAATCAGTCTGGAGACTCTCCGTTGAAGAAAATTTGGAGCCGTTCACCAAACGAACGTCCAATCAGCGTTGGCTTTGAGGCGGGTTGAGGTGAGACGCAACGAGAAGCGCGACAGTTCAGTCTAAAGAACATGGCGGCTTCAGCCGATGAAACTAGCGTTAGCATGGCTATCGAGCAAGTTTTATCGGAATTACAGAGTATTTCTTCACTGAAAGAAGAGCAAAACACTGCTCTGGAGGCTTTTCTGAGGAAAAGATGTTTTTGCTCTTCTCCTGACTGGTTTCGGCCAGAGTAGCCTGGCTGTTAGTACGTCATATGCTTCGTTGATCTGATTGGTTTATTTGGCCCGTCTATCACCAACATAGGCCAATCAGCTAACCAGTATTTTCGCCCCTTCCCAAATTACTTCTACGGAAGGTTTCCAGATGGATATGCGGAGCAAATCCATCTGGCGGAGTCTGGTTAATGTGGAGGATTTTTGTGAATTTTATGAAAAGATCCACCGACTCCACTTTAAATAAAAAAGCAAAAGCACAACCCTGTACCAGCTCCTGAGAGGGGTCGCCTATTAAAAGCGTGCAAGAGCATGCACGAGCCAATTTCTCCTCGTGCACACCCTGTTTAACAGTTTCTGTTCTCATAGCTCATACAAGCTTACTGTGTCCGAACGTCCACCATAACTAATATTTCCCTCGATCACTTATAGAGCGGGGACTGACTGTTTGGACAGATGATCATGTTTTGCTGCCTGTTAGGAACGTAACTCCTCCTCCTTTGCACTTCATAGACACTTTTTCTCTTATGACCCTCAGCCATTTTCAAAGAACCGCGGCGAGAAAGGTGTGCTTCAATGACTGTCTGAAAGCCATAGATATACGGCTGAAAGTGCGCATGTGAAGAAAAAGATAGGTAACTGGACTAGCATGTAGGACGGCCTTACGTAAATATATCACCAGAATGATTGACAAGTAGGAGGACCACTTATTTATATATAAATATCTTCCTATTTACCTTTAACTTCAACAAAATTACACCAAAAACAATCAGTAATATATTTTCAGGTCTATTTTCCAATCATCAGGTTCAAAAACGTTATTGATACTGTTTTTGCAAAGGTTTAAGTATTTTTCTTTATTTTATAGCATAGAGAAATAAATAAATTGGTGGAACTTTAACACTAGGACTCCCAGAATTCGGATCCTACTAGAACTCCCACTGCCAGTCATATATATTTTCTAAATGGAATGCAAGTCCGGTGATGTCATCAAGTGAAATGGTTATAAAGTGCCATATAAACCCATTGTGGATATGTAGACCTTTAAAAAAAAAAAAAAAAAGTTTTGTCTACTGCATAATTGCGCTATATATACAGTATTTGTCTCTGAACTTCCCTATCAATGCGTTTTGCACCATGTTTTTTTTCCTCCCACGCTATTTACATTTGATCACTGCTGCACATTATGAAATTAAAATATTAATTTCACTGCTAAGCTGCTGCTTATTTACTGTCTGAAAGCCGTACAAAATGAAATTCTGTTTTGTATACACTGTATACAAAATTAAAATAAAAGTCAGTTCTAATATTATTTTAAAGGCTGCAATTTTTTATTATTCAAAAATTAGTAAGACTGATAAGACTGTTAATAAGACTGATTTACCACACAGGATCAAATTTTGAAATTATACATTTATTTTACAGAAATTGATTGATACCCCCCCGCACACCAACTATATACATTTGAGACAAACATCATAGGAAAGTTTTTTTGTGCAGCGTTGATACTCCTGCCACTGTTTTCTTTTCCGCGCTAAAGCTGGGTTTTGTGCAGCAGAGGGGTTGGTAAGCTGCGGCTCTCTGGAGTGCATGTGGTTTGCACGCAAATGTTTTATCAATTCAAGGATAAAATGTCTGCGTACCTTCGCTTTTACAGAATACTTTCCAATCACCTGATCAAACACATCCACACCAACGTTTGTGTGATTATAGTAGACCATGGGCTCTGGTTTGTCTTTTGGGCCTCTGAGTGTTTTGGCCGAGGTGCCAAACCTTGAACAGAATGGGTCACTGATAAGTCTGCGTTTTCCTGGGGAAGGTTGATCATCTTCGGACTCGCTATTTTTAAAAAACAACTTGAAAATGAAGGAAATATAGAAACAGAAAAGATCAGTTAACGAGACTAAAATAAGATTAATGAAAATAAAGTTCTTTCACTTCAAAATCTCTGAACCTTCAAAATGAACGCCACAGGAGTTCTAGTGTTAAATATTATAGAGGAGATCATGAGTTGTTCTTTTTACAAAACGTCATTCATTGACCTTTTGTGGCTCTGAAAGGAATTTTTGAGCAACACTGAGAGCAGAAATGGCTCCTTGGCTTGTAAAGGTTGCAGATCTTTGGTCCAGAGCTAAATGCTGGGGGACGGGGAGCAAAAGGTCTTATTTAGAAAGGTTCCTATTTTCTCTCATCTCTCATGTTTGGAAGCATGTTAGAGTGTCTTTTTTCCTGAGGTATTTTTTACAGTTTATTGTCCCTTTGGCTGCAAAGGGGGTTGTATCCTGGTGGGACACAGACTGTCTCGTTAGCAACTTCTATGAGCTCTGAAAGCTGGTATTTGCCTGTATGCGTTTTTTTAAGGAGCTAAAGATTTTGTTTTGACTGAAAACTTATAACAACCCTTCTAAGAGGACATTACTGTTCCCCAGCTACTGTTATTCTCCCATAGAAATCCCAGATCGCCTCTCTAAGCGTGGTCTGACATTTAAAGGGAAAACTCTAGAGACTTCACCGACCAGAAAACGGCTCAAAGGAGAAAATAAACTGACTGAAATCAAAAAGATTTAGAATAAATCTGAAACACATAAGCACATGATGAAGAAGGAGCTCTCATTAACTGCCTTAATGAGTCACGTTTAAGTGGTAGCATGAAGACAGTTAAAGCGAACCCTTGACTCAGAGCAACGACATGTGTGGGCAGCTCATTAAAGTGACTCTGATGTGTGAACTTCAGTCGACACGCAGCTCATCAGATCCATATTTATTCCTTATGAACTGGTAATAAGCCGAGGCTGAAACATCAAACAGCTGATTTTATGTCAGAGGAATGGACTCATTTTAGACATCCGTCTATTTCTGCCTCCGTGTTAAAAACACGTTGACCTCTGTTAAACTATGATTCTCACCAGAAGCAAAAAGTTAACTATTCCTAAAGTGAATCTGCTGCCATTTCTGTTTTTTTAATAAAGAACAGAAAAGCCCCTTAGAAGTTAGTTTACACATTACTTTTAACATTTAACATCTTGCTGGGAATATATTGGTTCCTTTAGCCTCTAGGACCGGCTGGAGGGCGAAACACTTTTAGTTATAATAAAACACAAACTGAAGTTCATTTGTTAACATGTGGACGATATTGACTGATATTAGGCTACGTTCACACTGCAGGCCTTAATGCTCAATTCCGATTTTTTTGTGAAATCGGATTTTTTTGCGTGTCCGTTCACACTTCCAAGTATATGCGACTTGTATGTGATCTACTGTGTGAACTGAAAGCGTTCAACCGAAGTGTCCCGCATGCGCACTCGAGGACGCGATGACGTCACATGTAGCAAGCGTCCTCAGTGTTTGCGGAAGTAAACATGACTCGTAATACCGCAGCATATATTGCGTTCTTTAAGTTCTTCTCCAACAGGAGCAGGCACATTATGAACAAAATCTTTTTAAGAAGATCAAAAAGAAAGACCCGGTTCCGGTAAGACCCTTCGAGTTTGATCTGAATCGAGCTATCTTTCCAAATATGAATTAAGTCAGCAACCTCACTTTCTCTCCATTGACTGCTCTCTGTGTTATCTTCCGCAATGGTTGTTAGTTTTTCCCGCCTCCGCTTAGTAGGACGCAGATTAGTAATGTTTAGTAACATTTGTCAAGTATCAATGACGTGTAGGTTGGATGAATGCGACCTGGCCGTACAGACACAGGTCGCATTTGAAAAGATCAGATACGTATCGTATTCAGGACCACATATCCAAGTGGCCTGGGTCGCATTTGAAAAAATCGGATCTGTGTCGTTCAGACTGTCATAAAAAGATCAGATACAGGTCACATATGGGCAAAAAAATCGGAATTGGGTCACTTCAGGCTGCAGTGTGAACGTAGCCTTAGAGATCTCACTTTTAGGAAAATATGAACCAAATCACAGTGTAAACTAGGGCTGCAATTATTTATTATTTTAGTAATATTTCATTCTTTTGTGACTACTTTTTTAATTTGCAGATGAAATAATGAGGTAAGAAAAGGTGCTTCACTGATTTTTTATTTTTTTACAGAATGGGAAACAAGTGAAGGTCAAACGATCTCCACTGAGTTCAGCATGCAGCATATTTACAGATTTCATCTGAAATATTTGCCTAGTTTTTGCTTCACTGCTATGTGAAGGTCATTCTATTAGCAACAGCCTGGTTTATGTATAAGCCATGTACAGGCTTGATTTCATTATCAGATTAGTTGATGAATGTTCTGATCACTGATTAATCACCATTAAAGGTGAATAGCACAAGGTCAAAAGATTTTATTTTTCATTCAAATTCCTGCTCTTACAATTGCCCTAAACGTAACTATCTTAATAGGCTTCATTAGTCAGTTCATGGGAGTAATTCAGATCATATTCTGTGGAAGTGTGCAAAGGTTGAGGCTCCACTACCACTGACCATTAGCGAGTTAACTTTAATATTGATAACCTCTTAACTCACAATGCCTTTAAACAAAAAACTTGTGCAGAGGCAAACAGCGGCGCTTTAATTCATCTCTTCTCCTAGTGCACAACACTGCAGGGTTCCTACAGCATAAGGCAAGTTAAATTCAAGACTTTTTAATGCCACTTGAAATAAAACTTTAAGACCAAATTCACAAGAAACACAAGCAAAACCTGCCTGCGACAACTTAACCCAAAGGTTTATTTTAACATAAACCACTGCACTAATGTTTAAAATTTTGAAAAGCTTCCCATACAGGAAGAAAGCTAAAAACACACAAATGACAGATATATTTTAACAATTATTTAACTGAATTCACAAACTTTGTTTTAGCAGGGAACAAAACAAATCAGTTTTAAAGCCACAACATATCCAGTGCTAAGTCTTTTTTGCAGCTATTTTTCTTTGTATTGTTTTCTTAGTATGTTTGATTTGGTGATAAGTGGAGGCGTTGCAGAGACAAGGGTGGAACTAAACTGAGAAATACCGGCTGTTTCTCGGTAACTAGGTTTTGTGTTTCGCGCTTCGCATGTGACTCCACTGCCTTAATTCCCATCGTTCCGAGCTTGAATCGCTTCTTGCACAAAATCCACTGAGCCTCATGTATGTTCCCTGGTTTTAGTCCGTGGAGAAAACTCTTGGCTGGAGCCAATTTTCGTTACATTTACACTTGCTCATATTTTCCAGACAAAAAGTTAATGATGCATCTCCCAAATGTCCCGGCCGCAACAACTCTTTTATTGGTTCCGTTATCGGGACGGAACCAATAATGGCGAGCCATTTTTTTTTCTTTTATAAAAAAAAAATTGTCAATTTTAACGTTTTATTTACATTACAAAAATAAATCGTAATAAAAAAAAAATCCTGTTTATGATGTTTTGAAAATTAAGACCTACGAAAGACTGATTTAAGACATTTTAATACCAATTAAGGCCTTAGTTTTATTTTGAAGAATTCAATGCCTTTTAAGATTTTTTAAGGACTCGCGGGAACCGTGCACTGGTATTCTTACCAGAGGGGAAACATTTCTGCAAAAACTGTGAAACCTGCTCTATGATAGATCTATTTTTTTGTGTGCAAACCTTTGAAAAGTTCCAAACGTATTCAATAAATAATTAAAATCTATAAAAGGAGAGAGAATGTAATTAAAAAATCAAGCAGCTTAGGTTCTCGGAGCAGAAAGCAAAGCCAGTCTATAAGAGGTCATCTTAAAATGATGAAGTTTCAAATCAAATGTGCCATATCCAGGGATATAGTATCAACATCAAATGTTAAAGTTGTTGATTTTTGCTGAAAACAAATATTTTACAAATATCTTTCCTCCCGCGTACAACAAAAACATGAAAACAAACTTGCATTAGTCATTTTGGCCCAGTTATACTAAAAGGATTGGATGTTGGGACCCGACTGACATTAAGGCTGTGAATAAATCACTATCATAATATCTGTGCATATGGAAAACATAAAACAGAAAAACAAATATCTGATCACAATATAAAGTTATAAGATGATTTGGTCCAGAAAAAGACACAAGTGGATACTAGAAATGATTAATAATAATAAAAATACAAAGATAATCAAAGAAATCTGACACTAACAGTATACCCCACAAACATCCATATAGGTATAAAGTTGAAGCAACGTTTAACGTTTGATGCGCTCAGAGAATTCAAACCCACATACAGGACGTTTAGTGACAAAAGGTTAGCTGGATTTCTATACACTGAAACAGCAGCAAATATTCAGTATTTACAAAAACCTCACAAATAATCACATTGAAACACAAAGACATTTGGTTTCAGTGGAAAACAGAAGTAGATTAGACTCACCGTCCAGCTGCTGCGCCTGCGTAAAGGCTGCATTTGCTGACTCGTAGTTTTTTAGGTGGTACTCTGCAATTCTAGAATAGAAAAAGAATAATATTAATTATAGGCAATGAGCAATGAAAGCGCCATCGGATGTAAAATAAGTATAGATGGCTCCTTTAATGTGTTAAAATTTATTTTTATCCACAATCTAAAGGTGCATCTGAAAAAACCTCGAATGTTGGAAAAATAGATTATATGAAAGATTTTTGGTCTTATAAAATGACTTGATGATCATGGCTTACAGATAATAAAAAATTTCTAAAACAAGGAATTTTTTTATTTTACTCCAGTTCTGTCAAAGGACCAAACTAAAGCTATTTCTATGCAATCATATCAGTTTTGGTCTCATTTTTGCCTAAACTGACAGCATCTGCTTAGTTTGAATGGAAGCCCAGAGCCTCAACCCTTTCCTTGTGTAGCTCCACTGAATTTTTATATGGTTTCTCTTATTAATCCTGATTAGGCCAGAACTGATTAGATTAGATTAGATTAGATTAGATTCAACTTTATTGTCATTACACAGGTACAAGGCAACGAAATGCAGTTTAGGTCTAACCAGAAGTGCAATAGCAATAAGTGCAGGATAAATAATGGTTCCATACATACAGGACATGGGTTTATAATATAATATAATATGTAGATCACTAGTGTTATGAACTAAATTTACAGCTGGATATGTACCGAATATAATATACAGGTGGATATTACTATAAAATGGGTTTTTACAGTTATGTACAATAGCATATATACAGATTAAGCAGATACATTAAGCAGATTAATCGTGATTAATTGATTATTGAAATAATCGTCATTTAATAAAATAATCAATTAATTGTTAAATGGGGTGTAGAGACTCTAAAACATGCCTTTAGCTGTCAACTTAGCTGACAACCCACTTAGAGCAGTAATATCAACATTTTGCATTTAAGATAAAAATCTATCAATATGCTCTATCCAGAACTCCTCCAGAGGAAATGTTTTAGTTTCACCTGGTTTAACAAATAAAATCTACTTTAAGGAACCTTTTGCTATCCGATTATTAATCGACTAATCGAAAAATAATCAACAGATTAATCAATTGCAAAATAATCATTAGTTGCAGCCGTAGTCCAGTTAAATTTTTTCACCGTTGACGTTTGTGCAACTTTCCCCACCGTAGTTTTTCCTTCCACTTAGCTTTCTATGAATATGCTTAGAAACGAAAAAAGAAATATAAAAAACAGCTTTGATGGTGTTTTAAAGCAAAGGCTTGTTGTGGCGTTTGGAGGGAATTCATGGCTCTCCTTCTCCGTGTGCCTTACCTACTGACTCAGAATGAGAGACCGTTTGGAGGCTCATGAGACCTTTGCAATACATTTTAGATATTTCATTATCAATAAGCCCACATTAGCAAAATAACAAGAAAGATTAAAGTTTTGATATTCTAATGTATTGACACATTCTTTAAATTTTAAGGTTTAGTTCAAGTCAAAATTCAGAGAGAACTAGTTCACATGTGTTATTATAATACCAACAAACTGATGTTCATTTGCAACGCAGAGAAAAAAAATCCCCTAAGAGATGTTGTTTTATTGAAAAGCTTAGAATACTGTCACTCAACATTAATATTTAAAACATTTAAAGATGAACCAAACTCCATGAACTGACTGCCGTTGTATTTTTGACAGGTTAGCCAAGGGCAAAATGGATTTGTATCTTTAAATAATCACACAGAGGTCAGCTGTTTGACTCTACGCACCCTGTTCGCATGAAGGCTAAAGGTAGGCTGGGTTTTAGCTGCTGGGCTTTCTTTGCATCATCAACGGCACCTGGAAGAAAAAAAGAAAAGAGGTGTAGTTAAGATAAGATGGTAGCATGAATCGACTCTTCTCTGTTAACTTTAGGTGCATACCGTATTTTCACGACCATAAGGCGCACCGTACTAAAAGGCGCACTCTCAGTTATGTGTCCCATTTCTGTATTTAACACACACATAAGGCGCACCGGACTATAGGGCGCATTTTTTATATACAGGTACATGTCCTCTACTACCTTTAAATACCTCTACTGCGTATTTAAAAATACAGCGGGGGCAAAACTGAGTATGACTGTGCTTTATTCATGTATTTATTACAAAGTATTAATCAAACCTGCGAGCTGGCCATGAGACAGACACATCGCAGATGACAGAGCGCTGTGATTACTCCTAAATTAACTTAAAATCCTAAAACCTGCTGACGGAATATGTTCGCTTTTATTGCCGGTATCCTGGTGCCTGCAGTTTAAATTATTTAGATGAAAAACACCTGCCAGCAGCCGCGATGAGGCTGCTGTTGAATGGATTTCTGCTGTCGGTGCACCGCTGGTATGTGGGGGTCTGAGCGCCTCCGACAGAAATAGATAATCTGGATGAACTGACTGCAATTAAGTTTTCAGGTGGACTTTCTCACTTAAAAACATATTAAAACTACTTTATTCCCACTGATCACAGCAAATATAGCTGCAAGATTTAGATTATTTAGATGAAAAAACACCTGCCAGCCACCGCGCTGAAGAGGAGGAGACCCGCCCAGAGGCTGCTGTTGAATTAAGTTTTCAGGTAGAAAAATAGAGCGGGAGCAAAACTGAGTATGATTGTGCTTTATTAATGTATTTATTACAAAGTATTAATCAAACCCATCAAAGTCATCATCCTCTGTTTCTGAATAAAACAGCTGCGCTAAAACAGACATGCCAATTTCCCCTTCTTCGCTGTCAGAGTCACTTTCCGTGCAGCGCGGCTCCTCAGAAAAAATGCCGGCTTTTGCAAAAGCTTGAACAACAGAGCCAGCAGACACGTTAGTCCATCTACAATCCATCCGCAAACGGTGGCGTAACTTGCCCGGCGCTGCCTTCCACTTATCGTGAAACTGTGGTCTCCGTCGGTCATCCATCGCTCCCACGCCGCTCGCAGCCTTACTTTGAATGGCCGCTTCACACCGATGTCGAGCGGTTGAAGTTCCTTTGTCAGACCCCCGGGATAACGGCGAGCACAGCGTCCATTTGATTCACCTTTTTTTTTTTCACATCGGCTGTGAGATGGGCACGCAGCGATGGAGATGCGTGGAAAAAAGCACCTGGTCTCCTCACATACACCTGCCTTTCATCATCTCCTCATTCATCCAGCCTTTTTCATTGGCGTTAATATCATATGTCATCAGAGCGCTGTGTCTGTCTCGCTGTCAGCTCCCAGATCAGCTTCTCTGATTGGTTGATGCGGCGCGTCCAGCAGCAAAACTTCAATGTTTCCATCTCGAGCAGCAGCAGCGCGTTGGCGGTGCGTCAGATACTTAAACGCTCCCGAGGCGCTGCGGCTGCAGCTCAAAACGCGCTGCCGGACCTTTTGCTGCGCCTATACGCGCGTCAACCATTGACTTTGCATGTAAACTCGCTGCTTCTGCTGCACCTGCTGGGTCCGGTTCACACCGATGTCGAGTGGTTGAACAGCGAGCACAGCGTTAATTTGTTTCCCCATGTTTTTCACATCAGCTGTGAGATGGGCACGCATGGAGTTACATATTAACAGCGATGGTGAGGGGTGGAAAAAAAACACCTGGTCTCCTTCCATTCAGCCACTCTTTCATAGGGATGGGGATCGAAACCCGGTTCTATCAAGGACCCGGTTCCAGTTTTTTCAAAACCCGAAAATCAATAACGTTTGGGCTTATCGATACCACTATCGAGTCTGGTCTTTTTTTTTTTTTTTCCCGGAGGTCCTGTAACATAATTGTGTGTCCCTCGAGTCGCGTCACAGCATTTAAATCTAATCAATCCAATCACTGCAGCATGTCTACCAATGTTTTGGAATGAAATTGTAAGCAAACAGATATTAAAAGTAAAACAAGTGAAGTCTGGCAGTTAACTTTGCTCGCAACTCGAGAATGGCTGAACGGAAAAGACTCCTCCTCCTCCTGCTGCTGCCCCGCCGCACCACAGTCGGGCCCGTCTTCATCATCCACTCAGAGAACCACTGGTTAGCGCGCACACAGACTTTGTAGCTTGTCTGGTCACTTAAAAATGGTAATTGTGAAATCCGTGTTGTAATCGGCAGCATACAAGCTAGTTAGCTTAAAAAGTAAATAAAGTTTCAGACGTGCTGCGTGATGATGTGTTCAGGTTGGCTCAGTAAAACGACAATTAGGTTATCATGATGCGTTCAAGTGTAACGTAAAGAAAAGGGAAATTGAGTTTTTGGCGAGAAACATGAGTAATACAGTTGTATATTGCTGTAATTATTTTACAATATATAATTAAACTACTGATGCCAACATTTATTAAAAATTACATTTAATTTAAAATAAAATTATTTATTTGATAAATATTTTCCTAATCTCTAAAAACCTGATGAAAAGTGACAGACATGTTAATTTTTCTGCAAAAAAATACCTGTTAATTTATGGGCTGATATTTTATTTCCTTTTTTTCTGACACAGCATATTATTCATTTAATTTATATACATTATGACATTTTATTTTTCATTTGGTGCTGCTGATATATTCTAGTTAGTTTTATGTCATTTAGAAGTGGCCTATTACATTAGCCATGTTTACTGAAGGCTAGAAACTTTTTTGTTATGCTCACTTGTTAAGCAATAAAAGCAATACCAGTTCTGTTAAAAACATATTGTCGCATCGTCTTTCCACCAAATAACAGAAAAGTATCGATAGTGGTATCGATAAAGACTCGGATCGATAAGGAGTATCGATAAAGGTATCGATATCAATAAATATTAACGATCCCCATCCCTACTCTTTCATCATCTCCTCAATGAGGAGGTCTCAAAAGTCGCAGTTAGAACACACATAAGGCGCACCGCACCATAGGGCGCACCGCACATTTTGAGGGAAAAAAAAGACGTTTAAGTGCGCCTTATAGTCGTGAAAATACGGTAGTTTAATAAAGGGTGAATGTCAACAGCAAACCAGCCAATCATATGGCAGCATTTAGGCACACTGATGGCTTGCTGGGTTGTAAGTAAGCTGCAGAAAGTGGAAGAAATTAAATTATATATCCATGTCATGGACAACCATCTGTTTGGCTTAAAAAGATTAGGGATGTCTCGATACAGAAAGTGCAGCTTTAACAATTGACGAAAGCAGATATTGACCCGACATTATCGCAAACAATACATGCTTGTATTAATCATCTTGTACTGTACAACAGTGTGAGTGTTTTTCCTCACATTTGCGCCTAAAAATAGATTGTCAGAGTAGGAAAAAAATAAATAAAACCGAAGCACTCGTGCAAGTACAGATATCTCTCCTTTCAATCACAATTTGCTCTCAGGCTTATTTTAAGTAAGATATCTGTTCATCTTTTATTAAAAACATAAGAAAGTGAAGAAATAAGACAGTGTTAAAATGTTTTTTTTGCATTTAACACCAAAATATCACAGCCAAAACTTGTGATGACCTGACATCTCAAGCAAACAGCACAGGCAGCTCACAAAAAAATACTCTACAGTGTGAAGAAAAGAACTGCGAAGCAGATTTCATCAGATTTGAGCTCATCATAGACAGGTGAGGGGGGTGCAAGACAGCTTCCAGGAGGAGAAAACTACATTTGGGACCATTTATGTCAGATGATAGTATAATCAGATAATAATTCAACATAAAACTGCACAGAACTAGATGGAAACACTGTCTGGTCTGATGATATTTGGTTTATCAGCTGCAACATTCAGATGGTAATGTTCGATTCTAGTATGAACAACATAAACTCTGATCTAGCCTGCTTTGTATCAGGCTGCCGGTTGTGGTGTAAATATATTGACTTGGCACAATTTAGGCTCCATAGAATAAATAAAAGACAAATCAAAAACAAAAAAACCTGAGTAGTTGAGGACCATTAGGATCTAATTATAACAGAATAATGCAAAAGAGGGTCCAGCCCTAGCAAGCTGTTCCTAATAAAGTGGCCAGAGAGTGTTGCAACAACCGGCACAAAAAGTGGAAAGTACTTTAAACGTTTCCTTCTTAATATCTTACAGATAAATAATCGGTAGTGATGTTATGAGATCAGCCGAGGCTTTGAGGCGTGTGTCGAGTACTGGAGGGGGCGTTTCAGCGAGGCGCGCATCGAGGATTGCTTTATTTGGGGGAGGAGCCAAAATAGATGACGTCCAAAGACTCGCTGCCCCGTCATACCACGTGACCACCTCGGGAAGTGGTTCAGCTTGCCTGGAACTTTGGCAGGAATCTAAACAGCCTCAGTATTCAGTCAAGATGTGGGAGTTTGTAGGAGAGTTTGGATATATTCTAAGAATAGATTGGTTGTTTTTCCACCCAATCTAGCTGGTTAAAACTAATTTGGTTAGATTAAATGATAGTGATGTCAGCTGACATGGACTTCCACTGCTGGGGTTGTTGGTTCAAGACCCACCTTAGACATTTGATTGTTGCGATAAAACAAGTATTTTGGCTAATGTGACTATTTTGTATTAGTTTGCCCTCGTACAATATATATTGGGTAAAAACACTACCAAATTATATTGGTTGGTTTAGCCAAAAGATAGGTTGAACAAATAACTTCCAATCTGATTAAACCACAAACTGTGGAAAAACTCTTATGTTTGAATAAAAAGACTAACACCTTTCATTTTGCCCATAATTGCCCAATTTGCACAAACACTTTCACTGTCTGCTTGAGCTCATTTAAATAAAACAGCAGAAAAATAGTGCACCATAAATTATTTTTCTCTTCCAAAACATTACGCACACATAAAAAAAAACTTGCACAAGATTTTATTATACAGACCAATCATTAAGAATTTCAAAGGAACTTAAATGGGGAAAAAAACAAGAAAAATTATTGCAAAAAATCACAGATTATTTTACTAACTGTAGTCCTGCACTTCACCTGTAGTGGTAAAATGTTCACATGAAGCTTTATGAACTGTGAGGATCGTTGAAGCAATTTGGCCAAAGGGTTCAATGCCTCATGAGGATTCATCTCAGCTTCACTAATAAACAGAATAAAGGACGGATTTGGTCTGTAATCCATGTCGTTAATGAGGGTTGTATTTTCCTTAATGGGCATACCAAAGTAGTGACGTACTAAAGCAGGCATGCCCAAAGTCAGTCCTTGTGGGCCGTCCTGCAGGTTTTAGAGGTTTTCCTCCTTCAGCACACCTGATTCTGATGATTAAGTTCAGCAAAAGCCTGTTAATCAGCTATCAATGAAAATCCGCTCTGCTGAAGCAGGAAACCTCTAAAGCCCACAGTACAGCGGCCCTCGAGGACCGACTTTGGGCAGGCCTGTCTTAAAGGGACAGTGTGTATTTTCTGAAGACCTTTAAGCAGGCAGATTTTTATATCCAAGTTAAAAGAAAAGTCTAGAAATCCTTGAAAAGGAAACACTAAACAGACAGGCCTTGTCATTTTAGCTAATTTTGATCATTCTAGAACAACTATAACAGATAATACTTTAATGCTTAAAACACTACATTCCATTAAATCTTATCGTTTTCAAATCCCTTAAAGGTGCTGTACGAGATCATGGAAAAACTAGCTATTTTTTTGAACATACACAACCATGCCTCTCCATTCAGGCCCCCACGAAACCACGCCTTCAAAACACATGACTGCGCATTCTGTCTGCAGCACGTCAGCAGGAGCAGCGCTGATGATGCACAGCGCTATGATCGCTCCTCTGAAACAGTTTATGAATGTCTAAATTAACTTAAAAAGCCAAAATCTGCCGGTAAAACATGTTCGCTTTTATTATCCTGGTGCTTGCTGTTGAATTGGATTCCTAGTGACTGCGGAGTGCCGGTGTATGGGGGTCTGAGCGGCTCCGACAGAAATAATATTTGAAGGCAGGATGGTAATCTGGATGAAATAACTGCACTGAAAGTTTTCAGGTGGACTTTCTCACTTTAAAATAGATTCAAACTATTTTTTACCCACTGATCACAGCAAATATAGCTTCCATTGTTACAGGCAAAGAAAGGATAGGGGTTATTGCCATAACCCCTATCCTTTCTTTAATGGTTAATGATAATTACGTTACTTGGATATAACCAGAATATCTTCAGAACGGCTCCAAATGACACAAAACTCATATGGGTGAGTAGAACGTGATGTAATAATGTAAAATCAAGGGCCCAATGTAAAAAAACAAAAAACGGCATTCCCCTTTAAGGTTAAAATAAGTATGTTCAACTTGTGCAACAGCATCAAAGATGATAAGTTTCTATGCTTTTCCAGATAAAAAAAAAATCATTAAGATGTGACAGACACATAATCAGCTGATTGTGCAGATTTACATGGAGCTTGAGCAAAGAAACGTGGAAGCAGTTTAGCAGAGAAAACAGGGACAGAGTAACAGCAGCCTCTTAATAAGCTTCAGATGTTTATTATTTGTTAGATGAGAGTGTTCATCTAGAAGATTTAGAAGATTATAAGATCTTCACTTTAATCAAATAAAGAAAACAGCTATATTGGGATCTGTCGTAGGATATTACTAAACAGAGAATCATGTCAAGACCCATCCAAGATCTTATTTTACAAAACAATACGAGGAATAAAATGTGCAAGAGCTTGGCTTGAGATATTAACTAGTTCTTGTTAAAAAGACACTTGACTTACTGCTGTAGTTTTTCAGAAGTATGTGGGCATAGGCGCGCTGACAGAACCACTCAGCATTGTCACAATCTCCTTCCAGGGCCTCATTAAGAGCCTGAGAAAATACAACACAGCTTTTAGAAAACTTCCTTCAATATGATTTCCATTTGATTGTATAAAAACATAAAAACAAGATTGATCACGGAAAAAGTTCCTGCTGCATCACTGAGCCTCTTTTAAATGCAAAGCATTAATATATCTAGAAATAAAAAGTCTTTCTGACTATTTTACCACTAGCAAGTCTGCAAATGCTGCTTAATTTCTGATTCCATTATGCACTTGTTAAAAAACAACCACAAAAAAATAAAATAAAAATCTCTTTGAAAGCGGAGGTTCATAGAATTTGTGTTTATAATCTGAAGTAAATGAACATACCCAGATTAAAGCTAATAAATATATCTTTTCTTTTACTAGAACGAACAGGGCTCATTGTTGATGTTTTCATGAAACAAAGCAGCTTGAATTCTCTAAAGTTAAGAAATATATCTTCAATTCATCACTACTGTTTTGATAAGTGAACACTTTATAAATGAAACCTAAAAAGTTCTGGACTCTAAATCTCAATCGTTTAAATTTATTGATAAAGTTTACTTGAATAAAATAATATGAACAGAAAAAGTATTGATCCAAGCCAAAAACATTCTATTTGTTTATTTATTTATTCAACAAATCCTCTTTTTATGGTCACATCATTAGGCATCACTTTAAACTGTGGGACTTGTGTTACTTTGCCAGGTTGTAGCAAAGGCGTAACTTTGTGAAGGACTGGTGGGGACAGTCTCCAACAATAATTTCCGCTTTTTTCCCCCTTTCCACTCATTTACTTTAACCAAAGGTAACCGAGGTTGGGTGCAGCGATCTGTGTTCAGAGCGTTTTGAGTCTGTGTTTTTTTTCCTCTCTCACGCTGCTCCCGTTTCCTGCCTCTTGGTGTGACATCATCAGATGTGTGGGTTTGAGACATCTGATTTGCAGTTGCATTTCACTGCGTACAAAGTAGCTACGTAGTTGGAGGAGAGACACACAGCAGCACTCAGTGAATATTAACCAGCAACGACTTCGATGTTGCTGGTTCGATGTGTAAAAAAAATTACAGATGCCATCCAAAACTCAGTTCGTTAGACATACAGAGCTTTTTTCCGCAAAAATGGCAACAGATAAGTTTATACAAGTTAGTATTATAATGCAAGAAACTTGAGAAAACATAGTTTAAATGTTGTGTTGTTCTTTACTGGTTTAAAAAAAAAAAAAAAAGTAAAGGGTGATTTATACTGCGAAACTAGGTCGTCTGCGTTGGTGTTGAAGAAATGAATAATAGAATAAACCAAGAATAAAAATGAGTTTTTATGGATGAGATTTACTGTAGGTGAACACTGATCCCTCCAGTTCATAGGTCAGTATTGGTAGCCCTTCCTATGACTTGGTAGCCATGAAGTAGCCCTCAGCCTTAAAAAGGTTGGTGACCCCTGCTGCAGACAGTGCTGCAGGCAGGAGGCCAGCTTGTTTTGTTTGTATGACCGAAATTGCAGAAAACGACTCATGAAGTTGGTCCAGCTAGAAGAGCGAGGTGTGCGAGAACACCGGGACCCTATTTCCACCTGGATCCCCACTCTTTTTTTTTTTGCCCTCACTTCCTCTCCGCCTCAGCCGTATCTAGACCCACAGCGTATGGCACAAACCATGCTCAAAATTGAGCATAAATGAAAATGTCTGCTTCAAGCTCACTGCGAAACCCTGCTGTGGGGAATATAACCAGCCCTTTAGGCTTCTCAGAGGACCATGACTCAAAAGTTACAGGTTAACATATTTTCTTATTGTGCAGACAGAATCAGACTGCAGAGCTTCTACATATCTTGAAATGTTGTTTCTTGCATCATAATATTTGTAAAGAGGTTCATAAATAATTTTTAACAGAGCACAGAGAGAAATAGGAAGAGCTGCAGATTTAAAGGTGAAACAGATTTACTGGGATATGCAACATGCAATAAAATATTTCTCCAAGTTCACCATAAAGTTAAAAAAATAATAATATGCTATTCTATATTTAAAATGTAGCATACTCATATTTTTCTGGATGAATGGATTTATTTGAAACTGCACATTGTAGGGATGAATGATTTATAGATTTTTAATCGATAAATATCCCTAAATATCTCTAAATATAAATATCAGTGTATTATGGTTCTCTTCAATGGCGTAACGACACAACAATAGACCTGTAAGCTAGGGATGCACGATATTGGGATTTTGGCCGATATCCGAAATGCCGATATTTTAAAACTCATGTAGCCGATAACCGATATCGATACCGATGTTAAAGCTGGACAAAAATAAGTAGTAATTGAAAATAGCAGTTTTGTTATCCATTTCTGACACTTTGAAAAATAATATACTCAAATATATTTTCATATGCTGATATCAAATTGATTTTTAAAAACGTGGTATTGATCTATTTTACTTTCAAAATCTCGTGAAATTTCATCGTTCTGTTACAAACTCTCGTGATGTTTTGCAAATTCTTGTGAGATCGATACCGCGTCAATATATCAACATATAAAAATATAGCAAAATTTCGTGAATTTTCGGGGGATTTCGTAGCATAACGATGAAATATAGCAATATTTCATTATTAAAAGAGATTGATATGGTGTTTTTAAATGGAAATATATTATCATATGAAGATATTGTTATATTTTAATGTATCAATATTTTTTCCCTCGTCTTTAGAAGTTTTTAAGTCTGTAAAAAAGACGTTTTTGAGGAAGAAGAAGAAGTAGTAATTTTTTTAGACCTTAGAAACTCAGAAGCTGATCAAATATCGGGTTAAATATCGGTGGGGTGGCCGATGTCCGATATTCAGTTTTAAGGAAGATACAGGTCGATACCGATAGGGGGCCGATTATATCCTGCATCCCTACCGTAAGCAATATTATCTGGGTGGGCCCCATATGAAGGAATACCCATAATTCCAAGCCGTGGTGTAAAAACTCAAATTCTCAAATACATCGTTCTGTTAAGATATTTGTTGCTGTTTGAAAAATATTATATGAGTGTATTTTTTACCAACCGTCTGACAAACTATACTCAGTTAATAACATAGTGATTAAAAGTTCCACCGCTTTGCTATTGGTGTCGTGTTTAAACGTCTCACCATCATGGTGAAATCTGGCATGTGTTGCGGTATAAATACAATCCGGTCAGTCAATCTAGTATCAGGTGGGTTTAAGTGGGCTTTTTCACACCATTACACCTGCAAAGAGACGTCCTAGTTCATAAATAGCGTGGGGGGGCCACCCAGGTGTCAGGGGTCGGGGCCCCCTAAGCAACTGCAGTCTCTGCTTACAGATAGTTACGCCTGTGTTCTCAACAACAGGAAAGCATTCAATTAATATATGTTTAAGCTAAATTTTTGGAAAACATAAAAACCTAATGAAGGCGTTTGGGTCAAGTAACTATAGGTCCATCAGCCCCCACCCACCCTATGAGTGCCCCACCAACTTTCATTACAAAGTTACACCTTTACGTTGTAGTCAGAGCTGTATAAAGGCAAAACAATGAATAATAATTGTATTATAAAATAATAACGGTCTAAGAGTATTTTTGTAACAGAAACGTTGCTTAGAAACCGTTCTTTAGGTTAAACATCTCTAAAAGTCCCAAATGCTAGCAGGCAAAAGAATGAACCAGAAATACGCAACTTAGCTTTCACTTTCAGTTAAACTCAACATTATGCGGTTGTAACGTTTATTTTAAATGCTGACTTTAAGCATAAGCTACAAGTAGTGAATAACAAACGTTATTATTCAAACTAGAGACGAAGAGGAATCTTGTAAATGTAAATATACATCTGGTTTTCAGAAACCTTTGCTTCCCAAAGTAGTGCTAGCAGGAAACATTAGCTAACTTAGCAGACTTAAACCAAAGCTAACATATAAAGCATTGCTATGCACAGCGTTTTAAGCTATCTAAAGAATAACTGGTCGCAACACTTCAAATTTAGACCATCAACGATTCCGAGGTTAATTACAGCATGGATGTAAAACATGTTTACCTCCAGGGCTTTCTGGGGATCTTCGTCAATGAAGCTATCACTGAAGCTGCTAAAGCAAAAATAACACACCAAGACTTCATTAAATGAATGGGAATTAACACGTGAAAACGAGCCACAGATAAGCTACTGAGTGATTTTATCTCACCGTTCGGCTGCCATGAGTTTTCGCCCCGAATGCGGTCTGTGTTTCTGACTGTTACAGGAAAGTTCTAGACGTGGAGAATACTAGAAACGTGATAAGCGGCAAGTGTCAGTGAACGCAACAGAGGGTTCAACAACATCCGGTGACGCCATGACGTCGAGTCCTGACGTTCCGTCCTCCCATCAGAGTGACAGAGTGCAATAAAAATTAATTTGCTGAAAATACCAAATTTTGGTGTACAATTACAAAATATATAGATACAAGATGGAGTATGAAAAATACATAAATAAACAAAAAAATCTATATTGATATCTATATCTATATCTATATATATATATATATATATATATATATATATATATATATATATATATATATATATATGCACTTTATATAAACACTATATATAGTGAATATGGAAATATTAAGATATGTATAAAACGCTTACAGATTTAATATAAATATTAATACGTTTTTGTAATCGGGGTACAGAAAAGTGCATGAAACAAAAAACAGGGCTATAGGTCAGTGTTTGATTTAAAAAGTGAGACAAAGAACCAATTGCAGCTTTTCAAAAAGCAGATAAAAACTGTGATCCTTCAGTAATAGAAATGAAGCTCAAACTTCACCTCCTTATATTTTGAATCATTGCTAAAATACAACTGTGCAGGTAGAGAATACAATAGGTGAAACCAATTAGACACAATTTCTGTGCTAATGTTTATAATTATCTTCATGATGTATTTAGTATCATGTCTTCAATAGGGCTGAAAAAGTTAATCTGATTAATCATGATTAATTATCGATCAATAAATAATTAATTATTGAAATAATTGTCATCTAACTAAGTAATCCTATAATCCCGAACTGGAGTATAGGGATTGTAAAAAATATATATGTAGATATTTATATATATTTATTTATATATATATTTTTTATCTTAAATGCAAATTATTAATATATATATATATATATATATATATATATATACATATATATATATATATATATATATATATATATATATATATATATATATATATATATATATATTAATAATTTGCATTTAAGATAAAAAATAAAAAGTTTTTCATTTGTCATCTCTATGCAGAACTCCTCAAGTGGAAACATTTTAGCTTCACCTGGTTTAATTTGGTAAATCTTCTTTAAGGCACCTTTGGCTATCCAATTACTAATTAAAAAATAATTAGTAATTAACAAAATATTAATGTACAGGATCAAAATGATCAAGGCGGACATATTTAGTCCGCCTTGATGTTAGACCTTAAGAGGTCGTAGTGGTGAGTGATGGTCCGATCCTTAGGTGGGCTCCCAGAGCCAGCCCTGCTAAGGACCCCATATACAGGTGCTGGTCATAAAATTAGAATATCATGAAAAAGTAGATTGATTTCAGTAATTCCATTTAAAAAGTGAAACTTGTATATTATATTCATACATTACATACAAACTCATATATTTCAGATGTTTATTTTGTTTAATTTTGATGATTACAAATGACAACAAATGAAAATCTCAAATTCATCATATCAGAAAATTAGAATATTGTGAAAAGGTTCAAAATTGATGGCCCCTGGTGCCACACTCTAATCAGCTAATTAACTCAAACCACCTGCAAAAGCCTTTAAATGGTCTTTCAGTCTAGTTCTATAGGCTACACAATCATGGGGAAGACTGCTGACTTGACAGTTGTCCAAAAGACGACCATCGACACCTTGCACAAGGAGGGCAAGACACAAAAGGTCATCGCTAAAGAAGCTGGCTGTTCACAGAGCTCAGTGTCCAAGCACATTAATAGAGAGGCGAAGGGAAGGAAAAGATGTGGTCGAAAAAAGTGTACAAGCAAGAGAGATAACCGCACCCTGGAGAGGATTGTGAAACAAAACCCATTCAAAAATGTGGGGGAGATTCACAAAGAGTGGACTGCAGCTGGAGTGAGTGCTTCAAGAACCACCACACACAGACGTATGAAAGACATGGGTTTCTGCTGTCGCATTCCTTGTGTCAAGCCACTCTTGAACCACAGACAGCGTCAGAAGCGTCTAAAGAGAAACAGGACTGGACTGCTGGTGAGTGGTCCAAAGTCATGTTCTCTGATGAAAGTAAATTTTGCATTTCCTTCGGAAATCAAGGTCCCAGAGTCTGGAGGAAAAGAAGAGAGGCACTTCATCCACGTTGCTTGAAGTCCAGTGTAAAGTTTCCACAGTCAGTGATGGTTTGGGGTGCCATGTCATCTGCTGGTGTTGGTCCATTGTGTTTTCTGAGGTCCAGGGTCAACGCAGCCACATACCAGGAAGTTTTAGAGCACTTCATGCTTCCTGCAGCTGACCAACTTTTTGGAGATGCAGATTTCATTTTCCAACAGGACTTGGCACCTGCACACAGTGCCAAAGCTACCAGTACCTGGTTGAAGGACCATGGTATCCCTGTTCTTAATTGGCCAGCAAACTCTCCTGACCTTAACCCCATAGAAAATCTATGGGGTATTGTGAAGAAGAAGATGCAATACACCAGACCCAACAATTCAGAAGAGCTAAAAGCCACTATTAGAGCAACCTGGGCTATCATAACACCTGAGCAGTGCCACAGACTGATCGACTCCATGCCACGCCGCATTGCTGCAGTAATACAGGCCAAAGGAGGCCCAACTAAATACTGAGTGCTGTACATGCTCATACTTTTCATGTTCATACTTTTCAGTTGGCCAACATTTCTATAAATCCTTTGTTTTTATTGGTCTTCAGTAATATTCTAATTTTCTGATATGATGAATTTGAGATTTTCATTTGTTGTCATTTGTAATCATCAAAATTAAACAAAATAAACATCTGAAATATATGAGTTTGTATGTAATGTATGAATATAATATACAAGTTTCACTTTTTAAATGGAATTACTGAAATCAATCTACTTTTTCATGATATTCTAATTTTATGACCAGCACCTGTATAATCCTCCTCTGTAGAAATGTTTGCAGAATTGCTTGCTAGCTGTTTTTTAAGAGTACTCCTGTTCTGTCCATTGATTTTTACAGAATTAATGCATGACTAATCATTTAAGTTAACTATCTTGGAACACTGACAGCTCCTTGGCTGTAGGGGAAACACAACAAAGCCCTTCTATCTGGAATACCTGAGGTGTGACTGAATCCCAAAACAGCTGAAGGTAAAATTTTGTAACTGGGCCATCAGCAGTGTTCTGAATTTATAAAGTTGTAGTGTTGTTTTCTTGCCGCAGTTAAGGGTGATCAGCAGGCCCAGCGAGTGGTAAAAACAGCAGGGAAGGCCACTCCAAAGGTCAGCACTATCCACACTACCCAACGCCTGAGGAAAGTCCATAACATCCTGAATTATCAACACCACCCATCAGGTGTTCCACCAACTGCCTTCAGGTGAAAGATTCAGGTCTTTACAAGCAACTTGACTTGCCCACAGCCTGTACCCTCAGTCAGTTGGCCCCCACCCCCATTCTCCCTTTGCACCATCTTTAGACATTCACTACAGCACTATTACAAAGCTCTCAAATTAAGACTCTGTTGGTCATTAACCAAAGGTTTAAATAAGGAAACATTCTCAGAGCAGCAATTAGATATAAAACTCGAACCAAAAAAAACCTATAAATATATATATTTACTCCTTTATCTTTTGTTTCATCCACAACTCTAAAAGTATCAGTTTTAGATTCACCTTGAGCGCCACCTGATTATTTGCCTGCTAATGAATAAAGGAATCTAAAAAATTTATTAATTAGCAAAATAACCTCTCTTGTTTTCTTTACAATTAATAAAGAATGTGCAATAAATGTTTTTTTCTTTCTAGTTAAAACCATTTTCCTTTTAGGGATGTTAATTTACTCAAACTCTCTTTTTAAGTAATTAACTGAATCATCAATGACTAAAACAATCAATAGATGCTGCTCAATGTTAAAAACCTGCGCTTTCACAGAAGATAGAGTCTTCTCACTTTGTTCTTGTTAATAATGAAGTTAATCAGAGGTCTATTTCCTCCTCAAATCGACCGCCATCTCCTCAGTCTTGTCAGCATTGAGGAGAGCACTTCTGCAGAAAAAGTACAAGGACTCAAGTTCCCTACTAATGCCTCCCTCCTCTGCAGAGTCAACAGAAGGCTTCTGGAGGTGGTGTGACTCAGGGTTGTACTATAAGACAGAGGTGTAACGACGGCACGGAAACGGGAAGACAACAATTCCCTCAGTGGCTGTGGACTGCATCAGACATGGTGTTCCTCAGCCAAACACACTGAAGCTTGTCTGACAGCTAATCAGGAACCCAGAGGCCACTTATCCTGAGCAGCTTGTCACACACACACCATGATCCGTGATACTCGCTGTGCCTCTCATACCTTCCAGGTGAGATCCAGTGAGTGTGCTGCTGCAGATAGATGACAGCATCATCCACCCCCACGTGCAGCTGGTAGGCAAACTGAAAAGGGTCAAAAGCAGTTTTCCACATCTGAACTGAGTGGGGTCAGAACTACTCTCTGGAACCTTCATGACAGGCAGCACCAGAATAAAATCAGAGAGGCCAGATGGTGCAGAGGACTTTGACCCTGCAGGCTGTTTTTTTTTTCAAAGCCCTGGTTCTCTTCTCTGAAGATCCTCGAATGAACAATACCTCAAGACCTCAAAACACAATCAGGATAAGCCTATTCTCTGCATGCATATAATTAGCTGGTGAACCAGTCAATCAAGCTGTTCGTCCATCACACTAGAGCTAAAGGGTCAGTTTACAGGGCGAACTTTTAATTAGGATTTCTATCTGAACAGTGAGAACTACCTTTAAAAAGAATTCACTTATTAAAATTATATTTCAGTTTCATTCTTAATGATAATATACAATTACAAAAGTGAAAACACTTCTGGTCTGCAGGTTTATACATACACTCCTCTTCACTAACAACATAATAATAAAGTCAATCTTTTTTTTTTTTTTTTATATTTATTACCTCTTGGTTTTATGGGTGGAAAAATACAATTTGGTGCATAACTTTACATTTATGTTTTTAGAGGAACATATAAAAGCACTTCAAACTGTTTAGAAAATGTGAGAAACTAAAATACTGTTGATGAAATTGGCTTTTAGCTTTATTCTTACTGGATAATAAACCACTATTCCATCTCT